TGAAGTTACGTAATAATTATCATGCATTTTATTTGAAGTGATTTATAGCTGTATCCATCTGCAACTATACTTCTGTAATGTTCTGAAACATGCAAAACTGCGATTGGTGTCAAATTGTACCGCTCTGGACTGTGGCCCCTTTTTACAGGCCTTGTCATGGCAACTCAAATGGATGAAAACATACTCAGAATTAAAAATTTACTGTTTTCTATTTGTAATCTACTGTTTACTACTGTTTACCTGCAGTTTGAGGATGCTGATACGCAGGCTGATCAAAAGTAAAAAAAAAAATTAGAGAAAGACAGAGTTCCCCGTGAGTCACATGCTTGATTGATCATGTATGAAACACTCATCTGTTGTGATCTATTTTTTAATTATTTTACTCCATTTGTATTACTGCTCTTTTAAGTGCTTCTAGCCTCATCCCCATAATTGCAGTATAAAATCTACTGAAGCTTTATGGTAATTAATTTGCAATATAATTGAAGGATTTATAGCTGTATCAGTCTGCTAGTATTCTGTAAGGTTTTGCAAGACGCAGAATTACATCTGTTTGCAAAATGTACTGCTCTAGACTCTGGCCCCTTTTTGCACATCTCATGCCAACTCAACTGGAGAAAATGTTAAACAACACTGTATGTTTCCGATGCCAGCACTATAGAAATGTACTGAACTCTTTTTTTTTTTGCTAGAAATACAAAAGTTTTCGACTTACAGCTGTGAATTTTTTTTTAATCTCTATTGATTTTTATTTCTCTTATTTTTTCAGGTGTCTACAGGACAAAGTAACAGGACAGTTTTTTTCAGATGTTATTACTAATAGAAAGGAAAAATTTCATTTCCAGATGTCTGAAGATTGCTTATACCTGAATATATACACACCTGTTTCTACAAAAAAACAGGAGAAGCTGCCGGTAAGGCAAATCAGTGCAAAACCTCTAGCAGGCTCGATGGCTTCTGTGATTTGATGTGACAGATTGAGCCTGACCTTGAATCTTCTAACAGCTTCCTGAGGATGACAGTACTGTACTGCAAACTTGCAACCTGTACAGTATGTGGACTTACTGGCACAGTTTTTAAGGACTGACAAATAAAATCTTACTGATTTTTTACTTAGGCAGTGTTTGATTTCCTGCAGGGCACTGGTAAAATTCAGGTATTTAATGAAATCAGTGTGTGTTGTGAGGCTGCCAGCCTCCAATTTGAAAGACATTGACCATTTGTGAAATGCAACCTGAAGAGAAGCAGCAGAAACAAGGGTATTCAGTCTGTGTCACAGGGAGCTCTTCCCTGTGCTGAACTGTTTCTGTTTGTTCCCCTTCCAGGTCTTTGTATGGATCCATGGAGGTGCATTAGTTCTTGGAGCAGCATCATCCTATGATGGCTCAGCATTAGCAGCCTTTGACAACGTGGTTGTTGTGGCAATTCAGTACAGATTGGGTATAGCTGGATACTTTAGGTAAGATAGGCTGTCTTCGATTTTGATAAACCTTTTCCAAAATGATGTGTCCAAATCCATTGCGGAAAGGCCTGTGGAGTACTTGCTTTGGCAAATAAACTCTCTGTTTCTTAATTACACATGCAACAGTTGGGAGCAACTTACAAGTCCCAGGTCTGCTTCAGAGACTGCTGTGGCTTGATTGCTGGCCTGATCTCAACCCTTTTCAAGCCAATTCTTTTTAAATTACGCAGAGAGGCTCCTTCACAGCTGATTTCTTGTCCTGCACATTGCATTTATCTGAGTGTTGTTTTTTTCTACATCAGGCATTTAAAGAAGTCTGTTCTTTCTTTCTAGCACTGGGGATAGGCATGCTCGTGGTAACTGGGGGTATTTGGACCAAGTGGCAGCTCTTCAGTGGATTCAGGAAAATATCATACACTTTGGAGGAGACCCGGGATCTGTCACCATCTGTGGTGAATCTGCAGGGGGAATCAGTGTATCTGCTCTGGTAAGTTCACCACAGGCATGAATGTTTATTATTTGAGAAAGAAACCCACTGTCCACGATCACTCTCAGTACATTAATGAAAAATCAGTGAGAAAACGTGGGTGGCTTTTGGGTAAAGCACACATCACCTCAGTCTGATACACAGCTGATAACAGTGCAGCTTCTGGCTGTTGAAAGTGTTCTTTTTGTACCCAGATGATGTCGCTTAGAATCCCAAATGTCATTTGTCCTCTTCAAATTTGAATGTCCGTTTGCTCCCGACTTCTCTCTTAGAGCTGTATTTTCCCCTTCTGCAGCACAGCCAGTCTGCTGGACATATGTGTACCTGATTCATACCTGGCTTGCAGTGTTGTTCCCTGAAGTCTTGTAAGCAAAGCTTTATGGGAGGGGAAGGGCAGGCGTGGACTTATCCCTGTTAATGCTGCCAGAGACCTTTGCACAGCAGAACTCTGATCAGAGGCCACAGAGTAACACTTGGATGACATTTTTTTCAGAAAAGGCAGTTTCTGATATTGAAGTCCTGTGTCATGAATAGAATGCATTCCCAGTAATGCCTGTTCTTGTTTCTGGAAGCTGCTTTTTTTTTCCAGGTCTTATCTCCACTGGCAAAGGGCTTGTTCCACAAGGCCATTTCAGAGAGTGGTACTACAATTAGGACTTTATTCACTGAAAAGCCTGAGAAGGAAGCACAGGTGGGTATTTTGTGGCATATTTAATTTTTGAGATAGTCTTGAATGTCTTAAATGGTGTATTCAAGAAATGTGGATCTTGGTCTTTTTTTCTTGTGGAATTTCAACCACCTTCATTAGAGACAGGATTCCTGTTTGCAGTAATACACGCTGGGTGAAACTTTGCTTTCCAAATACCCAAATATCCACAGATGTCTGAGTGAAAGCAGAAAACGGAGGAAGCAGAGGGAGAAGGCAGTGAATGAGTATGAAATGTACAGGAGTATACTGTCTTCAGAAAAAGTTGAGCTGCTGTTTTTGAAAGGAAAATGGTACCAGATCCAAATACTGTTCTCTTTCCCTTCCGCCTGGTGCCTGATGTGCTCAAAGGTATAAAACTTTATTCAGCCTAGTTATAATTAAAAAGAAGCCCAATTCAACCCATTTTGTCACGTGTAAGAAACAATCTCCAAGAGCTTTGTTTTGCTAATCTGGGATGTAAAAGAGGCAGCGTTGCAATGAAAAAGCTCTTCCTTATGTCTAATCTATACCTCCTGTGATACTACTTGCAGCCATTACCCCGTGTGCTGCTCGTTGCCTGGGAGAAGAGGCCAAATCCCTCTTCACCACAACCTCCCTTCAGGAAGTTGTACAGTGCAATGAGGTCTCCCCTGAGCCTCCTCTTCTCCAGACTGAACAATCCCAGCTCCTCAGCTGCTCCTCATAAGACCTGTGCTCCAGACTCCTCCCAGTTTCGTTGCCCTTCTCTGGTCATGCTCCAGGACTTCAATGTCTTTCCTGTAGTGAGGGGCCCAAAACTGAACGCAGTACTCAAGTTGCAGCCTCACCAGTGCTGAGTACAGGGGGATGATCACCTCCCTGCTCCTGCTGGCCACACCATTTCTAATGCAGGCCAGGATGCTGTTGGCCCTCTTGGCCACCTGGGCACACTGCTGGCTCATGTTCAGCCGAGCATCAACCAACACCCCCAGGTCCTTCTCTTCACAGTCATCCAGCCACTCATCCCCAAGCCTATAACGCTGCATGGGGTTGTTGTGCCCAAAGTGCAGGACCCGACACTTGGCCTTGTTGAACCTCATCCTATTCATCTCAGCGCAGTGATCCAGCCTGTCTAAATCCCTCTGAAGGGCCGCCCTACCCTCAGGCAGATCGACTCCACCTCCCAGCTTGTTGTCATCTGCAAACTTACTGAGGGTGCACTCAATCCTCTCATCTAGGTCATCAATAAAGATATTAAACAAGATGGGCCCCAGTACTGAGCCCTGGGGTACACCACTTGAAACGGGGCACCAGCTGGACTTAACTCCATTCACTACTACCCTCTGGGCATGGCCCTCTAGCCAGTTCCTTACCCAAAGAAGTATATACCTGTTCAGACCATGGGCAGCCAGTTTCCCCAGAAGAAGCCTGTGAGAGATTGTGTCAAAGGCTTTGCTGAAGTCTAGGTAGACTACATCTACAGCCCTTCCCTCATCTACCAGACTGGTCACCCAGTCATAGAAGAAGATGAGGTTGATCAAGCATGACCCGCCTTCCACTAACCTGTGCTGGCTGGGCCTGATCCCCTGGACACTGCACACATGCCGTGCAATCTCATCCAAGATGATCTGCTCCATAACTTTCGTGGTACTGAGGTCAGGCTAACAGGCCTATAGTTCCACAGATCCTCCTTACAGCCCTTCTTGAAGATGGGAGTCACATCGGCAAGCCTCCAATCCTCTGGGACCTCACCAGTTAACCAGGAGTGCTGACAGATGACCGAGAATGGCTCAGCAATCACTCCTGCCAGCTCCCTCAGCACCCGAGGGTGCAGCCCATCTGGTCCCATGGACTTGTGACAGTCCAGATGGAGGAGAAGCTCTCTGACTGTCTCCACGTGAATAGGTGGGGGGATATTCTGAGCAGCGTCCCAGATTTCCAGATCAAGGCATAAAAAGCCCAGATAACTGATCTGGCTATTAAAGGCAGATGTAAAGCCAGACCTCAGCCCTTCTCCTTGACCTCAGTGGACACATTCCCTGCTGCATCAAGTATAGGATGAGAATTATCATTGGTTCTTCTTTTGCCATTGATATATTTATAAAAGGATTTTTTATTGCCTTTTACTGCAGCGGCCAACCTGAGTTCAAGTTGGGCTTTCACCTTCCTAACTTCCTCCCTGCATACCTTAGCTACTTCTTTGTAATCACCCCAAGAAGCCTGCCCCTTTTTCCAGAGGAGACTGTGACTCATTATTATTGATTGCAGAGAATTGCTGCTGCATCTGGCTGTGAGAAATCCAGTTCTGCCGCTCTGGTTGAATGCTTAAGAGGAAAAACAGAGGAAGAGATAGAACAGATAACTCTGAAAATGGTAGGTGAAATTATGCCTTGTATATGAGGGGCCTTTCAAATTTGATCATAACAGAGCATGCTGTACATGTCCTGTAATATTAAGAGAACTTGAAGAATATCTAACATCTCTCCCTTCTTTATGTTTTCAGGATATGACAACATTGCAGCTATGCCATACCTCACCTGAAAAATGTGAACAGGTTCCTTCTCTTTAATTCTGTATGGGCATTGAGCTACACGTGTTTCACTGTCAGGTTCTGTTAAGGGAGGAGACAAGAGTGTGAAAATCACGGTTTCTCCTGGAGAGCGTGAACATTACTTAACATCATAATTTTGTCCTCTAAATTTCTTACTGCAATCCTGGCTTTTCCTGTTACTTTGCAGTTCCAATGTAGAAGTTAGATTTTCTCTAACCTCTCCGTTCATTCGTACCAGGACATTTCTCACTAAGAGGAGATGTAAATTAACAATAACCTACATTTCACACGTATTTAAACACAATGCTAATCTTTGCAAATCTTCTCTGGTTCAAAGCATTGGTTGTGGAAAACAAAGAGAGCTTGAATACTACTATTCTTATATTTTCACTTAATGCTGTCATTTGCTGAAGCCTTGACTTTGTTTCTTTGTTTTTCTCCAGGCTCCCGTGTTCATCAGTTCCTGTGTGGATGGTGTGTTTTTTCCAAAGAGTCCCAGGCAATTACTGTCTGAAAAAGCAATCAATCCAGTCCCATACATAATAGGAGTGAATAACTGTGAATTTGGATGGGTAATTCCTAAAGTAAGAGACTTTCAATGGCATTGTTCAGATATGGTTTTGTATGTAAGATTTCCTCATAAACGTGTATTCTCTTTTTCATGCAGATGATGAAATTTCCTGATTTTACGGATGGACTGGACAAAGAAGTTGCCCGTCAAGTATTACAGAGCTCGTTTGTATTATCATTTGAGGTGAGAGACCATGTCTAGAATGTAGTGGAATGTTGTGCTGCAGAACTATGATCAGAGGCTACAGAGTAACACTCAGATGACATTTTTTTCAAAAACGGCAGTTTCTGATATTAAAATTCTATGTCTCTAATCAGAATGCTATTTCATCGTGGGGATAATTCCATATTCACATTTCGTATTGCTAATAGTGACTAATCAACTTGGAGATACTCCAAATCTCTATCCTACATGCACCACCTTTTAAAAAGGAATGCAGTGGAAATCCAGAAGCAATGCAGGCAACTAAACATACGTCCCATGACATTCAAGATGCACTAGGTTATCCAAGATACGCGTTCTACCAGCAGATATGACACAACTCCTACAGAACATACGAGCCTTTCTGAAGCTTCACATGGAGAATAGAAAGGACACCTGGGGATGCCTAAAATGGCACCAGGAGACCTGCATGTAGACAGGGGAGGTTTTGCTTCCCTGTGTTTTACAAAGCTCTCACTTTCTGGTTGCTTTGTGCTCTGCTGAAACTAGGAAACTTGAAAAATTGCAGATTAATAGGTTAGAATTAAGAAGTTGATAAACATAGCCAGTACTTGTAAAGGGTCACGTAGAGCCATAGGAATCTATCATAATCTGGGAATGGCAGAGCCCAGGGTTTTTCTGAAAGGGAGTAAGTAATGGCCGTCTGCAGCAAGAAATGGATCTTATGCAAACCAGCAGGATTTCATTTCTCTTACGAGGGTTGTTTCCACAGAAGGAAGAACAGAGTACCGTATCCATCTCTTAGCATCACCACTTGCTATTTATCTAGAGGCATTTGAGAGCATCCTTTTTGATCTTGCAAATCTCTTCTCCCACAGAACATCCATGTTAGGTAAAGGCGCACCACTGTGAACTGTGAGCTCTGCTTGGACGCAGCAGGGGATTTTTTCTGAAAGATGGTGATGTTTGGAGTCTAGCCAGGGACACGCAGGTGGCACTCTCAGTCTACACTGCTACTCCTTTTAGGGTGGGTTCTCATTATAAAAAGACCTTTCTTGTTCATTCCAGGGTGTTTCTTCTCACATTGTTGATCTTGTATTCAATGAATACATTGGGAAAGCAGAGAGCCGTGCCCAGGTGCGAGATGGCCTTCTTGATGCAATAGGAGATCACATGTTTGTTTTCTCTGCCATTGAAGTGGCTAGGTACCACAGAGGTGAGTTTCCAATTCAGCATCTATTCCAACAAATGTTGTCTTCCATTCTTGAGTGTGTCTGTGGACGTTATGTACGTATCACACTTTGCTATCAGAAGATCTGCTAGTGTTTTGATTTTGTCAATTTAGCTGTGGTGAAAGTTTATCATCATTGTTGACTGGCATTTGCAATACTAGCATTCTTGCGTTCAATTTTATTTTCTGTTAGATGCTGGCCACCCAGTCTACTTCTATGAATTTCAACATCGACCAAGCTCAGCCTCAGGCGTTGTTCCAGAGTTTGTAAAAGCAGATCATGCAGATGAGATTGCCTTTGTCTTTGGAAGGCCATTCTTAGCTGGTGATGTATCTGTGCTTGCTAAACAATTCTTTTAAAATCAACATTGTTATTAATCTCACTCACCTGAGGACTTTCAGAATAGAATTTTACTTAGTAACACTGGAATCAAAATAAGCTGGGGTTTTTTTTCTGTTTTTGGTAATAGTTACTTGTCATTAATTAATTCATCTGCTCTGCTCACATAGAACTCCCACAGCCCAGAGTAACAAGTAGGTTCATAGAATGGTTTGGATTGGAAGGGTCCCTTAGAGATGATCTTGTCCACAGCCCCTTTGAATTGGTTCCAGTGTATTGGGATTGATTGGACTGCTGTTTTTTTGATTATTGATTTTTGAATATTGCCATTTCTTCTCTCACTTTGCAGGGAATGCTACAGAAGGAGAAAGTAAACTTAGCAGAACTGTTATGAAGTACTGGACTAACTTTGCTAGAAACGGGTGAGATCCGTAGCGCTAACTGCAGCTCAAGTTTTGTCTGTGCTGCCTGAAGCGTAGCAGCAGCATGGTAGTTCCTGTAAATGTGGCAGAGTTTAAGATAAGTACTGAAACAAAGAGTTTCTCTTCTTGACGATTGCAAGAAGAACTCTGGAAATGAGCATGCAATCCCAAACAAAATCCAAGAGCTATTTGTATCTGCAGTGGAGGATTAGATCCCCGAGTAAGGGCAAACATCATTACGTGTTTGCTGTTGCAGTGATGAGCGTTTTGATAAAAACATCCATCTGTTCAGGTACTAGAATCGTGCAATCTGAGCTCCTGTTAGTCTTCTGAAACGACCTCAGGTTGAGAAGTCAGAGCACAAATGGAGAGGTAACTTTTCATTTTTGTGCTTCCAGAAATCCCAATGGGGAAGGCTTGGTGCATTGGCCTCAGTATGATCTGGATGAAAGATACCTGGAAATAGACCTCATACAAAAGGCAGCAAAGAAACTGAAAGAAGACAAAATGGAGTTTTGGGTACAGCTCACAGAACAGATGAGGAGTGAAAGAAGGCCAGAGCACACAGATTTGTGAGAGCTGCAGAGGATACAGTTTCCTTTTACAGTCTGAAGTAAGGTCAACAGCAATCTGTCAGAATGCCGATTTTAACCTTGACTTTCTAACTCACTGATGTGTAGTTTGTTGTCATGATTGCAGGAAAACTTCCCTTGATTCTCTCCCTCAGTGAAAAGGGAGCATCAGGGGAAGTGCAAGATGCTCATGGAAATAAAAATCAGTGATGAAGCAAGCGGGGGAGAGAAAGTCTTTCTTGTTCAAACAGGCCAGAGAGGGTGGTGGCACACAGGAACAGGTTGCCCAAGGAGGTTGTGGATGCCCCATCCCTGGAGGCATTGAAGGCCAGGCTGGATTGGGCTCTGGGAAGCCTGGTCCAGGTGACCCTGCACATAGCAGGGGGGTTGAAACTAGATGATCATTGTGGTCCCTTTCAACCCAGGCCATTCTATGATTCTGTGGTATCCAAGGGAATATTGTCAAATATATTGAAATGTATAAGAAGTTATGTTTACTGAATATGTCACAGGTGTCACAGAATGTTGTCAGTTCCTTCTGCTCTTCCTTACTGAGAGTGTCCTTGGTTGTCATTCTTCCAGCCCTCCTGTGAGGGTAAGAGCATCCGTCACAAACCAGCCGTGGGATCACAAGTGTTTTCCTGTTCTGTAAACTGTTACAAAATACTGGAGCTACAGGCAGAATGTTCAGCTGCAAGCTGGAACAGTGGCTGCCTCTAAATTTAACTTGTTTGGCTTTTCTTGTAAGTGTATGTGCTATCGTAGGCCTACAGGGTAAGAAATTATGCCTCAGGATTCATTTATAAAATACTCTCACAGCACTGGCATTATTCAGTGTTGCTCCTTCCATTTTCATCATATTACAGTGCACACATTAGCGGTGAGATGAAAATATAACCCTTACTCTTGTTTGGATTTGTTCGGTATTACTTTACTGTATTCTCCCTTCTTTATCACATGCGGTTTGCTGTTTCTGAAGCACAGGAAGTTATGTATGATTGATTGAATTGATTGATTAAAGCTCTAGTGGGAGATGAGTGGGGTACTAAAGAAGCAGGAAATCTTCCCCCTCCCCTTTGCTTGAGGTATTTCAAGCAATGCGTCCTCTTTTCTGAGAAATCTGACTGGCTTTCAGGCTGCAGAGAACGGGTTGCAGTCTGTTTTGCTGAGCGTTCCAGCTTGTGTTCATTAGGGTAAGGCTGGAACTCCACTGTTTCATTTTCAGCATGAAGATTTAAAAACTGGGTTAAAGCACGGTTGTCCCGTCTTTTGGCTAGCCTGAGCCACACTGAGCCAGTTGGAATTGCCATGGGCTGCATATAAAGTATATAATGAACGTAATGCATATAAGTAAAAAAAACCTTACACTGCTATGTATTTTTCATTAAAACATCAAAAATAGAGGGGAACAAAGGCATCAAACAAGTGGGATGTTTGACTGTGCTGTTGTGCAACTAATGCATCATGCAGGTGTAATGTACGTGTAACTGCATCTAAGGGAACATTCTTGCAAGGTTGAAGCATGAATTCCATCCTTGAGATATATCAAGTTTTCTCTACACTTTCTCTTCTTTTATTACTGTCATTTTCACAGTAGTTCATAGTCTGTTTCAAAGTCTGTGCAACCGGAATTATTTCCTTTTACTGCCATGAACTTTGAGCAGTCAAGCTGTGTTGTAAAAAGCATGAATTAATCTGTTACCAGAGTCTTTTGATTTAGCTTACATTTTGCATCTACTTTTTAATATCCTTATTATAATATTACTTATAATATCCTGCTCTTAGAGGACAACTAGGGAAGGCTGTACACTTCTCTTGCTTTTTTCTCAAATTTATAAGGAAAGCATTGTAATAGCAGATATTCCTTGTGATATGTTGAGGTGTATTTACATCTGGTCATACATGTAACTGAT